TTTGTTGTGTCCTTTGAGTATCCTTCCCAAACTGGGCATGCAGCAATAGCTTATTTTCACGGTATTCCTATTGATGATTTTATGTAACGGTAGGTTTTTCGGGAAATGCTTATCGATGAGAGCGAAGAACTTTCTTCCGATGTTGGTTGAAACGTTTGCACTGAATGGGGGATTGTACCATAGGATGTTCCTCTTCCGCGATCTCTTTCTCTTTTTAGGCGGTGGTGTTTTATAATCGATGGTGTGACTATATCCGCTATCTCTAAGTGCCTTCTCATAATCGCTTTTGGCTTCATTTAGGCATGTCTTGTTGCTGGATATGCTTATCAATCGTGATTCTATCATTGAGGGTAAGTTCTTCAATATGATGGGAGGATGATTGGATTCTGCGTTAATGTACAATGGTGTGTCATTTGGTTTCCTATAAGGTCTGTATGACTTGTCTGTTAGGTCGAGCACGACATCTAAGAAATCAACCGAATGCTGACAGAGATCCACCGTTATTTTTAGGCCTTCTTTTTGGAATAGTGAGTGTAGTTGCTTCCTAATTTTATCAAGACGCTGGCCGTTGGTTTTATTAATTACTGCAAGTCCGTCATCCCGGTATAATCCTAGGTACTGCTGCGGAATGATCTTTTTTATTTTGCTTAGAAGGTAAAGTCCGATTATTTCTGATGTTTCAGCTCCGTCCAAGCTTCCCATTGTGACGTCAAAGTTTGTGTCGGATTTCTTTACCCAGCATTTGTTGTTGTTCATTAGTAGGGATTCCTTACTGAGTTTAATAATCTCTTGTTCATCTTCAGGGATGTGTACTATCGTAGAAGCGTATTCATCTGGCGAAGAACCACCAAATTTAGATGTCAACAACCAAAATGAAAATTACGGATTCAAGTCTAGTAATACACCACCACAACACCCTGATCTTTTAAAATTCGAAGCGGACATGTATGAAATGATCAGCAATGTCAAATTCCAAAATGCCAACAGCAAATTTCAGAGCGAAATGCAGAATGATCTCAAGAAACTAAAATCAGGCGGGAAAGTTGTTGTAGAGGCAGATAAAACATCAAATCTCTACCAATTAGACCCAGAGAAATATAACCAACTGCTACACGAGAACATCACAAAGGACTACAAAGTCGCACCTAACGGAACAAAAGAAGACATTGATAGAAGAACTAACATACTAGCTAGAAAACTTAAAATCGACGACAAGATGGAGTGCTACACAGAAACTCCATGCTTCATCACACTGAAAGACCACAAAGAAAATTTTACAAGCAACACTAAATGCAGATTAATTAACCCCGCTAAATCCAATTTAGGAAGTGTCAGTAAGAAAATCCTAGAAAAACTGATCTCTGCAATAAAACTCGAAACAGGGGACAATTTATGGAAGAGCACCACAGAAGTTTTAACATGGTTTAAAGACTTGAAAGACCTAAAAATGGCACGATTTCTAAAGTTCGACATACAGGAATTCTACCCATCAATCACGGCAGATCTCCTAGACCGTGCATTAAAATACGCTTCTACGATAGTACACATCCCTGAAGATGAACAAGAGATTATTAAACTCAGTAAGGAATCCCTACTAATGAACAACAACAAATGCTGGGTAAAGAAATCCGACACAAACTTTGACGTCACAATGGGAAGCTTGGACGGAGCTGAAACATCAGAAATAATCGGACTTTACCTTCTAAGCAAAATAAAAAAGATCATTCCGCAGCAGTACCTAGGATTATACCGGGATGACGGACTTGCAGTAATTAATAAAACCAACGGCCAGCGTCTTGATAAAATTAGGAAGCAACTACACTCACTATTCCAAAAAGAAGGCCTAAAAATAACGGTGGATCTCTGTCAGCATTCGGTTGATTTCTTAGATGTCGTGCTCGACCTAACAGACAAGTCATACAGACCTTATAGGAAACCAAATGACACACCATTGTACATTAACGCAGAATCCAATCATCCTCCCATCATATTGAAGAACTTACCCTCAATGATAGAATCACGATTGATAAGCATATCCAGCAACAAGACATGCCTAAATGAAGCCAAAAGCGATTATGAGAAGGCACTTAGAGATAGCGGATATAGTCACACCATCGATTATAAAACACCACCGCCTAAAAAGAGAAAGAGATCGCGGAAGAGGAACATCCTATGGTACAATCCCCCATTAAGTGCAAACGTTTCAACCAACATCGGAAGAAAGTTCTTCGCTCTCATCGATAAGCATTTCCCGAAAAACCTACCGTTACATAAAATCATCAATAGGAATACCGTGAAAATAAGCTATTGCTGCATGCCCAGTTTGGGAAGGATACTCAAAGGACATAACAAATCAGTCCTAGAGAAACAATCTGAAAAGAAAAAAGCTCCAGAAAAAGAGTGTAATTGCAGAGACGCCTCGAAGTGCCCCCTCAAAGGACAATGTCTGGCCAAATGCATAGTATACCAAGCAACCGTTAAAACGGCGTCTAACAAGGAAACGGCCTATATTGGATTGACTGAAAACAGTTTTAAGACACGGTGGTACAATCATCGACAAAGTTTCAAGAATTCTAAGCACAGACTGAGTACCGAGTTATCAAAATTGATATGGGACCTCAAGGAGAAGATGATTGAATATAGCATAGACTGGAAGATTATTACTAAATCGAAGAAATATAAGGCTGGAGCGGGGCATTGTGGCCTCTGCTTAGACGAGAAACTATACATACTTAAAACCCCAGGCACTATTAATAAAAGATCAGAAATTATTTCTAAATGTAGGCACTCTAGGAAATTCTTAGTTAGACATATTTAGTTAGTATTTATTAGTTATTAGGATTTGTAGTTATTTATATAGGTTTAGTACTAGTAGTATTGAGTAATTGTTAATTGTTAATTATAAAATTTGATAAAGGAGCACTGTGTTGTATTATGTTTGCCATTTTTATGTTAATTATGTCACTGAAGATTGCTTTTCAAACATGAAACTTATAGTTTGACAATTGCATAGTTTGCTTTGTACCGATACATATATATATATATATATATATATCTTCACGACAATCTGTTGTAAAACAGGGGTTCCAGAAAACCCACTTCCCGATACTCCTGAAACATGAAATTTTTTTACAGTCGATTTGGACAAGGTCTAGACGCCCTGCAAAGTTTCATATCTCTAACTCAATTATAACATGGTTTTTAAGGCACCTGAATATGGCGATTTTGGGTTTTTTACCTAATTTCGTATAACATGCTGGCGCGTATTTTGCGCAAATTTCTTAAAAACCTCCACATAACTATTTCTTATTCCTGTCATCTTTAACATTGAATTAGAATGTTTTGAACTTAAATATGCCTGCTGAACTACTTTCGATGAGTCTTAATGCCTGGAAAACAATAAAGGGGATATACTAGTATAGGGGGTAAATAGTATTGTGAATATAAGGGCGACGGTAATGCTTGCCAGCATTGTGATATATGCTTCACGACAATCTGTTGTAAAACAGGGGTTCCAGAAAACCCACTTCCCGATACTCCTGAAACATGAAATTTTTTTTACAGTCGATTTGGACAAGGTCTAGACGCCCTGCAACGTTTCAGATCTCTGACTCAATTTTAACATGGTTTTTAACATGTTTAAGGCACCTGAATATGGCGATTTTGGGTTTTTTACCTAATTTCGTATAACATGCTGGCGCGTATTTTGCGCAAATTTCTTAAAAACCTCCACATAACTATTTCTTATTCCTGTCATCTTTAACATTGAATTAGAATGTTTTGAACTTAAATATACCTGCTGAATTACTTTCGATGAGTCTTAATGCCTGGAAAACAATAAAGGGGATATAATAGTATAGGGGGTAAATAGTGTTGTGAATATAAGGGCAACGGTTATGCTTGCCAGCATTGTGATAATAGCTAGTTATAGGCTATAAACCTACAAGTACAACTGAAAATTAAATATAGTATTGCTATTAGTTTGTAGTTGCATTATGCAACGATTAGAATTCTTAGAATTTAAAAGTTAAGTAGTTGAGCTCGTAAATGCTATTCTATCCAATATATTATCTAAAGTCAAGTGATAATTTTTGGGCGAGCGAATTAGTTTTCTGCAGTAAGAACCCATTATTTTCCATTCTTGTGAGCTGTAGTACTAGTAGTAGTGCGAGTTTCTCTTATGACTGTCATGTACAGTATTCCCTTTTAAAACCCCATGTTTGTAGGTTTATAATCAACTAACGCACAGTCACACTTCACAACTTATCGGCGATGTGTTTGAATCATATCTCAAACAAATAATATCACGTGATTCAACCAAAAAGTTTTTTTGCCCATAACTCTACAGGGAAGCATTTTTACCCTACGTTACCATGGGGGAGTGATTCGGAATCAGCGTAAAAAAATACACCGAATTAGATTACTTTCAATTTCATACCCTCGAGGCCTTTTCAAAAGAATTTTCTTAAAATTTGGGAGAGAGATTTGGTGGGAGCGCAACTTCGAGGCTATGCCACGGTCTGTGATTTACATTTTATCCAATAAACTGAGCTACAAGTGTTTTAGCAAATTAAATAAGTTCCATTATCATATAGGATGCAGCATCTGTATAGTGTATACAATACAAACAGTATAGAAACCAATTTTTGCTCCACCATTCGCTTCGGGTGGACTTTGTCCGCGCTATTCCTGCCCTTAGCAGCTCCAGTTGAAGCTCTTCTCTAGGCTTAACAGTTCTTTTAATCTTAGTACGTATGTTTCGCTCATTTTAAGTTACATCTTCCTGGCACGTTTACTTAATACTTACACTATCGCAAGGCAGGAACACTCCACAAGATGTTACTGTCAGCTGTACTACTACTAAAATCTAGCAAACTCTATCCACACCCCACAGGTCAGTCAGCTGCAGTTCACATTCTGTTGAAATATCCTGGGAATGTCTTTCGGATATCTATCATACTCCGGAATGCACCATTTGAGGTCAGTAAAACTCCAGATTTTATGAAGTTGGAATTTGTACAATACAGCGATGTCTTAACCATCTAATTATTTATCAGTCAAGAACCATGATAAACTTGAAGTTAAACCAAAACCATATTGGAAAAGCATCATCATGTGTCCAACCTAATGTGGTGATCATCAATCCTCGTGCAAACTCAATTCCAGCACTGTTAAACTGTTTATATTTATAACATAAACTGTGTTCATATTCATAACATAAGTGTTTATATTTGTAACATTTTCATATGATATCGTCTATTATTTCTAGTATTACAGATTCTTAATTCATAATTTGTAATTTAATTTAAAGAGTATAATATCAGATCGATCAAAATTGTCAAATCATGACGAGACAATCGAATATAAATTCATTTGTAATATTCGTAATATTTGTGATGTGATGATCGAACGCTAAGAGTTATTCTTCAAAAATCGAAAAATTAAGGCAAAGAGACGTTATTTTCTCCTTCTTTAAATGTGCGGGAACCTGCTGGAATGTGCGGGAACCCGCTGGCTACCTGCCAAGTCATCTCAAAACTGTAAAAATCTTCACTTAAACTTTAAAAGAACGTTGAATTTGTCACATTAATGTATTATACCAAATTTATACAAAGTTTAAGTACAATAAAATATACGGAATATATGAACTTAATAAATGACACCTTAATTTATAAGTAGTGAAAGTGTTATATAATTTGCTATTGCGGCGTTGCGGATTGAGTACACCCTCAAAGGTAACCATAATTAATTAATTAATTACGACAGCACTATATTTCGATATTATCACCACACTGAGAATTCTACTTCATCGCTCCTTTACAGCACTGTACTACTCTCAGTGAAGCCTTAGCCATCGTCGCAATACCAAATTACAGAAAATAAAGGTATTATAAATTTTAAAATAACAAAACAAAATCCCATTCAAGTCATAAGTTTTCAGTCCAAGATATCTCAACAATTTAAATTTAAAGTTCATTTTCGGAGTCCTTCTTATGAATGCAATCAGTACACCTAACATCACGTCGGTTTTTAACCAGCCATTTTCTCGAGAATGGGGATGATTCGCTCGAAGCTCGGTCTCTTGAGTGGATCTCTGTTCCAGCAAATGTCCAGGAATCTCTTGTTTGATGGACTCATGGTTTCTGGGTGTTCAGGACGGAGACCGTCTTTCCCGATCTGATGAGAAATAAGTTAATTTTGGATAAAGTCATTCATTTTTTTAAAGATGCAGATTACAGTCTACAGAGGACTTTAAGCGGTTGAAAGAAATCGTAGCAAAAATGGTTTCATAGTATCTTTAGTATCATTACTCCATATCATAAGTATTTATACCCTCATTGCAAGTATTTTTACCTTAATTCCGACGAGCATTGGTGGGACTCCATCATGAGGAACTCTTCCAGTGACCATCTCCCAAAACAGGACTGCGAAACTCCACATGTCAGCCTTCTTCTGGTCATCTCGGTCTAGTCGCGCACGTGCAGCTGAAAGACGCGCATAATTATCAGATAATCTGGGTCACTATTGCATGTTTTTTTGTAAATAATTCAAGATATTTCTGAACCTCAGCGTTACTTGCAATAAATTCAAACTGTGTTACGATACACATTATAAATCATTCATTTCAAATGTCCAGTTTTTACAAACAAATTCGTAGATCTTTCTGGAAAATCGAACAATCAATAAAACGTAATAAAAACGTACCCTCAGGACTAAGATAAGAAGGTTGGGAGAACACAGACGTTCTGACAAACGGTAAGTGAACTGAGGGTAAACTCAGTCTAGCAGTCATGTCATCCTCCAGCTGAAATAGAGGAGAGTTAGATATTACAAAATAGAAATCATTAAGCTGTGTTAATGTCACCTATGATCAGTCACCAGTTTCGTTACATCACGTGACCAACCAACCATGATAAGATATAATCTGTCTACCGGTGCTCGAGCACTAGTTTGAAGTGATAAGTCTAGGGTAGCTGTATATTCACTTGATCATGGCTACCCAACACTAGACAGACTTGTTCACCCGATCAGCCTAACAAAGCGTCATATCGTCACCCTGTCCGTGCGATTTGATCCCAGGATCTAATGTAGGCTGGTATCACGTGACACGCTACTCAGACTAGTGTCACGTGATGCAGGCCTGTTGTGATCTCTCACGATCAATTACCCAGACGGAACGTAATAGCTGGGCCCGATGTAAAGCTAGTCCTCTCCCCGGTAACCTGATCTTAGTCAACCCTTCAATTAGTTTGGGAACTTTCAGACACCCTGGGAATTGCAAACCCAAACTAATTATGACAGCAGTCTACGGTATCCAATAGATAGGCGGGATCTAATGGCTAGTATAAAAGGAAGCAGACGGTTACCATCTCATATTCACATTTCCCATACACTCTACAACTTGCAATCAACTGTTTTACAAACTCCGTGTTACTTTAACAACTACTTTCTCGACTGCTGATATGTCTCTAGCAATTACTCCTTCATTCCCATCTCCTCAATTCTTCTCCTCGCCAGTCAAATCAGCTCGCAACTGCAGCTCCAGACTGCAGTGCCCCACCCCAAACTATCCCAGTCCTATTAAACCAGCTACCTACCGTACCAGCACAGTTCATGTGAGATGCAGCACCCAGTTCCACTCAACTACCAGTTGTGCCGAGGAGAGGAACACTGAGAACTCCAAGATAGGACTCCTAACTTTCATACTTGAGGGCAGCTGTGTCGAGAGACCGGAGCACTGCCAGGTACAGAACTGGGAGGACGAATCTCTACAGCCCTCCATCCTGATACAGGATTCTGGGTGCTCACTAAAGAACCGATATCCTCACCTCTTTCAAAGTTTCCTTGCTCCCTCAAACTGCACTGACTCCAGACCTTCACCTCTCACCTCCACTAAGAACCATGGTCAGGACAAGAAGTCAGCTGGCAGCTCAAGTAACCCTTCCAACCAAAAGAAAAGAGTACAAATGAAGGGGATGGTGAAATCAGTGATCACATCCCTCAAACGACTGAACAAAAGAGCCCCTGTCCCCTCCATACCTCGAACAAATACTATAGAACCAATTTCCCTCGATTTGTCCACGACTGAGATCTGGTTTGTCTAAAGAGTCCGTACTCTGTTCCAATGACACAGCACTCTACGGTAGATGCTTGTAGGGGGAAGTTGGGAATCTTTTGCATTTGCGAACATGTTATTATTTGATGCTATGTATCTTCGATTTTGTACAGTATTTATTTTGATTGATTTTCCATATATTTTTTATGATCTCGTAACAGAAACCAAACATGTGATGTTATTCGACTTCCAGCCCTGTATCACAGATAAAGTAGTAGGTAGAATACTGAGGTATTTCTGAGCTTATGTCAATGGTATGCTGAGATTATTCAAAATTTCTCCTTCCCCGCAAGAAATCCCAATTTTTTATGTTGAAGATTTCGTATATAATAGGAACTGGATCTCAAATTACTGAAATAACTGTAACAATGGTACGGTGGCCATGTTCCTTCAAGACTTTTGTTAGTAAAATTTTTAAACTAAAAAATAATGTGCAAAATTTGGAGTTCGGTTGCTACTCAACATCCAAAATTGCCACAGGAAATCTCTAAAATAATCACGTGACCCGAGTAGGACACCACATATTTCTAGAGAATGAGATGGCCTGCAGTAAAATCACGGCAAGATAGATAATCACTCTAGGAGGTAATCATTTCATTTCCTTAACGTAGCCGTTAGCGATTGTTTTCTTTTTGTCAATCACAGTTTTTACCCGGCTAGTCAAAAAAGGTAGGTTTTTAAAGAATAACCTAAACATTAATTTGTTTGAACATAACATTATGATTCTGATTTTATTAATTGAGCGGTGCTCAGGGGAAACGAAAGGTCAAAAGTCAATACACATACCTTGGGTCATATACTCTTATACCATGTTATGGCCATTTTTCATATTAGAGACATGTAACTTGGCAAACGGTATACTGTAAATACTAATACGAGGATTCCGAAAAAAAATTAAAAATTCGATTTTTAGAAAACCACACAAAATCAACATTGAATTGCGATAACTCTCGTGTTTGCGATTATTATATTATAACATATATGAATATTATTATATGCTACAAACTCCATTTCAACATATCGCAATTAAAGAGATCATTTGATAACGTACACTACGAAATCGTAGTTCAGTGCTTTCTGCAGGATCACCATAGTGCGGCTAAAGTGAAAATGAACGTTCATTCGTAAAAATGAACATCGTTTATACTATTTGATTTGATGATATATTACTCGAATGAACAATAATAGCAAGTAATACCAGAGTTATTTAAATAGGGCACTCAGTGCCTGAGAAATAAGCCCCAACGGGTCCGGGACTCTAGGGCGTAAGACTCTAGGGCGTGAGACTTTAGGGCGGCGCCCTAACCCTAACCATCACCCTAACCCTAACCCTAACCCTTATCCTAACCCTAACCCTAACCCTAACCCTAACCCAAACCCAAACCCTAACCCTAACCCTAACCCTAACCCTAACCCTTATCCTAACCCTAACCCTAACCATCACCCTAACCCTAACCCTTATCCTAACCCTAACCCTAACCCTAACCCAAACCCAAACCCTAACCCTAACCCTAACCCTAACCCTAAGACCCTAGAGTCTTACGCCCTAGAGTCTTACGCCCTAGAGTCCGGACCCCGCCCCAACGTTTGTGTGCTGACTTTTATTGACCCCCCCTACTTGATTATAAATTATGATAAATAAATTGACTTCTAATATAATAATATAGGCTGTAATGGTCGTGCGAATTTTGTTGAAGTATTGAGTAACGCTAATTTCAGAGTCAAATTTCCAGCTTGGATAAAGAAACAGTAAAACAGATTAACAGAAAGGTCTCTTACTGTGGTCTCTGCCAGCGCCCTTGCCGAACTGTTAATCACCTGGTCCTCGTGCACCTACTCTTCTGCTGCTCATCACTAGACTAGTCCTCGTGCACCTACACTTCTGCTGCTCATCACTAGACTGGTCCTTGTGCACCTACTCTTCCGCTGCTCATCACTAGACTGGTCCTTGTGCACCTACTCTTCTGCTGCTCATCACTAGACTAGTCCTCGTGCACCCACTCTTCTGCTGCTCATCACCAGACTAGTCCTCGTGCATCTACTCTTCTGCTGCTCATCACCGGATTAGTCCTCGTGCACCTACTCTTCTGCTGCTCATCACTAGACTGGTCCTCGTGCACCTACTCTTCTGCTACTCATCACCGGACTGGTCCTCGTGCATCTACTCTTCTGCTGCTCATCACTAGACTAGTCCTCGTGCACCTACTCTTCTGCTGCTCATCATCAGACTAGTCCTCGTGCACCTACTCTTCTGCTGCTCATCACTAGACTAGTCCTCGTGCACCTACTCTTCTGCTGCTCATCACCGGACTAGTCCTCGTGCACCTACTCTTCTGCTACTCATCACCGGACTGGTCCTCGTCTAAACTGTCCACCAGGATCTTTTGCTAGAATAAGAAAGCGTGTACTAATTGAATGTAGCTGATTCTTATCGCTGATCTTTCATGATCCAAAACTCCATGAGCCTGGAAGGAGTTCTCCAGTGCAGTGGGTACCCAGCAGGATCCATTGCAATAATAACTCTACTTTCTTGCATCTGATATCAGCAAGACATTCAGAAAAGTGAATATACTATAGCATGTACCAATTGACTGCAGTAGGATCTGATAGTTGTGTCTCCAAGCCAGGAAGGTTCTCTCCAGTGCAGTAATGAATAACCTAACAGCTTGCAGCTGTCCGGCTGTAAGAGTAGATGAAGTTGGTTCCTGCAGTAGTGAAGATACTGTAGCATGTACCAATTGAAGGCAACTGTTTACTGTTCTTCAAGCATGGGTCGGAAATACCTTAACCGGGTAACCTGGTAACCTGGTAACCTGGTAACCTGGTAACCTGGTAACCTTGTTCTTTGCACAAGAGTGATTCTAACTTCACTTCCACATATTTTGTGAACAAACTGATATGAATCCTATCTGCACAAAATTGAATGTTATCTGCACACTTTTCTCAAGGCATGTGTCATTGTAATATCCGGATCGGAACATTATTTATTAGTCGCATAGTTGTAATGTTGCGACAATAAACAGGCTCTCAAGTGTCATTGTCAGTTAACAAGGCACTGTCCAATCTTTGCAATGTCCTACAGAATCGTTGCTAAAATATGGCAGTATGCACCAATTGAATGAATCTGTGGGATAGGAAAATACTGGAAACAGACAAAAGAGGCCCAACTTTCACTCTGAAACCTGGGAGCCAAGAAGGAGCCCTTCAATGTTGAAGATACCCAACAGGATCAATAACATTAAATGTTCCGGAATAAGACAAAACATTGTCATGTTGTCAGCCAAGAAGGTGCAGCCTAATGTTAGCCATGTTCCCAAGGATCCCTTGCTAGATATGATAGCGTATACCAATTGAATGCAGTAGATTCTGGCTTATCACGCTGCTCCTGCCTTTCAGCTCAAGAGCGAGAACCGTACTGAAACTGCTTTATGGCACTGCCAGCTTAAAAGGTGCTACTCACCGTATGTAATGTCCACCGGGATCCTCTGGGCGCTGCTCAAATATAAGGGTTAAAAAGATGCTCAAGTCTTCCTCTTCTAAATCTAGAGCGTGCATACCTGTCGAAAATGCTCCGAGGACATAGTCAGACAAAAATATGACACTTATTGTACCATGTGTCCATCAGGATCATGATTTGCTGAAATATGACAGCATGTGCCAATTGAAAACAGGAGAAGTTCACTAAAGTCTGAATGCCCCAGGGACATTTTCAGCCAAGAAGGATCAACCCAATGCCTAAAATGTCCCTCAGGATCTTTGCCAGCTATATGATAGCAGTGTACCAATTGAATGCAGCAGATTCTGTTCTAGTAAAGCAGGTATGTTCTGGAACGAACTGAAACAAGATAAGCAACCCAAGAAGGAGACAACCATGACCAGTGCTGTGAAAGGTGCATTGAAGGTGTATTAAAGGTGCACAAGGCACTTGAAATACTGGAGATATGACAGCATGTACCAATTGAATGAACTGATTCGGATCACTGTGTGTGTATGAAGCAGGGAAATTTTGGAACAAAACAGGAGAACTTAACTAAGAACTCTGTGAGCAGAGAAGTAGGTCTCCAGTGTAGCAGAGACCCACTTGGATCAATTGTATTTAATAATTGTGCATTCAATGTTCAAGCAAAGAAGGTCCTTTAAGTGTAGAAACATCCAGCAGACCATTTTTAGAGTGCTCAAACTGTGAAGACTGTGACCTTGTCAGTCAGAATGAAACAGCCTGTGTTTGTCATAGTTCATCTGATGTCCTACAGATCTTGCTATAGGTGTTACCAATTGAATGATCAGTGGGATAGGAAAATCAAACAGCAAAGAGAAATTACTCTGAATAAGCAAAACCTAATGAGAAGATAAACATAAAAACCTGTTCGAATGCAAAAAGGATTGTCATGCCAAGAAGTGCGTAATGTATAGCCATGTTAAGGACATTGCTAGATATGAAGCTATACCAATTAATCGGATTAATTATGACCGGTATCAGTGCCGCTTTCAGTAAATTCGAGCCGTATAATTTTTGCACTGCCGCAAAATTTCACCGTTGTAATACCCCGACTCCTTAGGCGTTCCAAGGGTTAAAAGATGCTCAAGTCTTCCTCTTCTAAATCTAGAGCGTGCATACCTGTCGAAAATGCTCTGAGGACATAGTCAGACAAAAATATGACATTTGATGTATCATGTGTCCATCAGGATCATGATTTGCTGAAATGTGACAGCATGTGCCAATTGAAAACAGGAGAAGTTCACTAAAGTATGAAGCCCCAGGGACATTTTTAGCCAAGAAGGATCAACCCAATGCCTAAAATGTCCCTCAGGATCTTTTGCCAGATATATGATAGCATGTACCAATTGAATGCAGCAGATTCTGTTCTAGTAAAGCAGGTATGTTCTGGAACGAACTAAAACAAGATAAGCAACCCAAGAAGGAGACAACCGTGAACAGTGCAGTGAAAGGTGCATTGAAGGTGTATTAAAGGTGCACAAGGCACTTGAAATACTGGAGATATGACAGCATGTACCAATTGATGAACTGATTCGATCACTGCAGTGTGTGAAAGCAGGGAAATTTTGGAACAAAACAGGAGAACTTAACTAAGAACTCTGTGAGCAGAGAAGTAGGTCTCCAGTGTAGCAGAGACCCACCTGCATCAATTGGATTTAATAATTGTGCACTCAATTTTCAAGCAAAGAAGGTGCTTTTAAGTGCAGAAACATGATCCAGCAGACCATTTGTAGAGTGCTCAAACTGTAAACTGCTTTGTCTAAGAAATTTTTGTCATCTGAGACCTTCCTAATCTGTACTTTACCAATTGAATGCAGGTAACATGCAATGGGAAATCCTGGGTAGACAATAAAGAAAGTTAACTAAAACAATGCAAGAAGGATCCCTGTCATGCAGTGCTGAATGAATCCAGTAGGACCCATTGCATAGAAGGATAGATAATACTCTACCCTCTAGATCAGAAACTAACACCTGCATCACCTATCCACTCTATTCTTAGTCGTGTTCATGTCTCAACACACTTCTCCAATATCAGTCAAGTGATACCCAATGTATGACATGTCCTTCAGGATCCTTTGCCAAACCATGATAGCAGGTACCAATTAAATATAACTGATCTGATCATTGTGCATGTCAGGAAGGAAAGTTCTGGAATGAGATAAAACAGGAGGACCTCACTAAAAACCTCTGCAAGCCAAAAAGGTTCACAAAAAATGTACACATACAGCAGGCTCAGATTTCATGTAAATACATGTGAAAACTGCCCCAGGTACATTGTCAGCCAAGAAGGATCAGCCCAATGCTCGCCATGTCCATAATGTTTCTTTGCTTAATATGATGGCATGTACCAATTGAATGCAGCAATTTCTGGTCATTGCTCTTGCAAAGCAGGCAGTTCTAGAACAAAAGAAAAAACCAAAACCAGAGCAAGCAAGGAGGGCGCTCTCCAGGCTCCATTGCAGTTACCCGCCCATAAGAACAGGAAATCAGAGGTTCCCGCACTCGATTACCTGCAGAAGACACTTAATTTAAGTGAGGACGTGACAGCATGTACCAATTGAATGTATTCTTCATTATGGTTGCTGCTGTTACAGATGAGGAAAGAAACGGATTCAAACACGATAACATTACTTAAACGTCTCAAAGCCAAGAAGAAGCTGGACTACCCAGCATGATTTAGTGCGTTGGAAAGCCCTACTTTTCTGCAGTTGTCCAGCTGGATTCTAGAAGAACAGGAGAACGAGGAACACAATGTTCAAAAATCATTTACAACAATGAGAATATGACAGCATGCACCAATTGACTGTAGTTGGCTCATTGTACTTGCAGGAATGTTCTGGAATGAGACAAAACATGACATTTTTATTGTAGATTTAATTAAAATTATGAAAAGATCTATTATGAGATTTCACTAGCTCTGTTTAGCGTTCAGATTATGCCGTGTTAACCATTATTTAAAATAAAGTATTGTTTTATTCTATTTGTACCATTCATCTGGTATTACTTGTAAATGGCATGCTAAAAACGAAGTGAAATCACAGCGAGCGCAGGTGTCCTCCTCAAAAAATTACACATTGTAAAATGTAAATATGGTACTGAAAGTGAATGGTGACTTTGAGCAGCAGAGGTCATTATTGAAACCCTCCCAAATTATGAATCATGTTACAACAACAGCAAAAGTATTACATTTAACATTAGCGCTTAGTAGGAACAGAAATTACATTATATAGAAGTCAGAATAGTAATATGTGCTATTCTTGAGCTGCCTATCATCCAGAAACTGTTTGGCCCAAAATTATCAGATTTCTTCTAAGGTGGAACATTGAAAGCCGAAATACCAAATGACCGTTCATATTTCTATTCGGACATCATTCGAGCAGCCAGGACCAAGAGCTCCCGTTTAATCCAACTCCATCCAATTCCAGTGCTTCCCGGCCCCCCCCCCCCCCCCTGGAGTGACCCAGTACTCGTTTCCAACATGTGGAGTACTGCAGTTAAGGAGATATTTGGTGTCTGGCATTCTGGTAACATGGCCAATCAAGCGCAAACCAGTTGCTCTTATGTGCGTATTTACTAGTATGTTTCCGATAGGGCCCATCTAACTTGACCAGTACAAATTTGAGCAGCTTGATTAAACTTCTATGGATGCCACAGATGTGACTCTGCGTCCGAAGCAGGATAAGCTGATGTCATGGTTATTGGTTATATCAATAAATATCGACAGGTTGCATATTGCGTGAAAATTTAGCGTCTGTCCCAAATGACACGGGTGCGGATCTTGTCAATATTCATGTTGCAGAGTTAGTCTTGTATCCATCGACCTTTCCCTAGGAATCTCAGCTTAAAACCCACAGTCACTCATAAGAGAACTTCTAGTACACCACTTAGGGCTGTAATGTTGTGATGACTTAATTTATGATCTATTTATCTTAAATGAATGACTTAATTAACTCACGATGTTCTACAGAGTTTTTAAAATAATTTGTAACGAAATCTTGTTCATGTCATAATCCCAGAAATGCAATAAGTAAATTTCTGAAACCGTCTGACAAGTGAGGAGCTTATGAATTTCAGTCACTTTACAACCTCTCCCTGCTACTTTACAACTGAAATTTGTTCTGTAACCCGATTGAAAATTGTTCACAGAAAATAGGATTTCTGTGAGATTTGGATAGACCGATAAATTAGGACTGCTGACTGAACGTATGAGTAGAGTGAGGACCCCGAACTCCATAAGTTTAGCCCAGGGACATCTTTGGCCACGTTAAACAATCCCGCATCTCAGACATCAAATATGGGTAAGGGTTGCATGTGCTTCAATGGAAGCTGCAGGTCAACATACACGGATATCGAGGATCTTGGACAAAAACTAATTTATGAGCAAAAATACTATGCCCATTGGCAATGGCATTGCCCATATAATTATATGGGTACATGTACCCTTAGTCTTTAAATCGGTCCGTCAGTGATTGGTAAATATCAATTAACAAATTAAGCGACAGTTCCACCATCATCGAATACCAATTATTTACAAAATTGCTGAAATATCAAATATAGACTCCTTTTTAGTGAAATAATTCGAGTTCTTACCATGACGTTGTTGCTTGAGAGATAGTATCCGTGTACGGCAGGTTCGTGCGCGTGCAAGAAGGCCATCCCACGTGAAATATCCTGCGCGATCCTTATAACCACGTCATTTTCTAAAATAGCGTCACCTGAAAGTAAAGCCCGTTAAATCACCAGCTTTCAGTATGTATAATGTATATCATATCCTGAAAATATGTTAATGGCGCAAAGGGCAAAGACTCGTTAAACTATTATTTTGCCAGAGTTCTACGAAGAAAACTGATTATTAAGTTGCTCACCATGTCCACGTTTTACGTCCTATTTTCAAATTGTTTGACTTATATTGTAGTACAATATAATATATATAATATATACAATTTGTACGCTAGACAAATGGTTTTTGGAAGTTCAGCGGGCTAGATCGAGCTTTTCTTGTACACGGAGGTTCTTGTAATGTTAAATAAAGGTGTCTGTAACAACAATATTGAGCCAAAAAAATAATGATGCTGAAATTGGGGGCTAAATAAACTCAAAACTCAAAATCTGTGGTTTTACTAAATTTACGTCTGCACACTTTCTAGGTGTCCAATTCATAAATTTGACCAATAACCCTGGACAACCAAATTTGACGGTTATGTTTTTTGGCTTTGAAGAAGAAGATTTTTGTAGTTTTTATGGGTTAAAAATCACAAAAAATTTGAATTATGTAAATCATTCAGCTTTGGCTCAGAATTTAGAATTTAGGCTTGGTACATCTCAGATTGAGGATTACGTTCTCGCGTTTTGGATTTAAAATTATACTAAACCGTTTATTGTGATGACTACATAACTAAATATGGAAATAACACAGTGACCAGATGGATATGATTTCATTTCAGTGACGAATGTGACAGAGGAAATGTCGGATGACGCAAGGGGAAGTAGAGATCATTAAACCGGTGATGTTTCTGTCAGTAGAGTGGTAGTTCAAATAACACGTAGTTAGGGGTCGTTCACATATTACGTAATCAGCTGAGGGGGGAGGGGGTTTCCTAATTATTACGCTAGTTTCCAAATGATTACGCTAGTGTAATTTTGACACAATAGCTATGTGTAAAAATGATTACGGAGGGGGAGGGGGGGTTAAAAATTGTCCAAAAAGTGATAATATGTGAACGACCCCTTACCACATAGTTAGTATGCACCCAACAGAAATTGGAAAATAATTGCGGGAGCTAGGTTTCTAAAGCCTACTCGCATTAAGTCTTAAGCTTAAAGTTTAAGCTTGAGATCGAAATAGGAGCTCTTATATTTTTGCTGGACGAATTTATGGATTCTAACTTCATTGAATCTTAAAGATTTCTCCATCAAAGAATTTCCTGATCATCAATGTTTCAGTCCTACTTCTATGATACCGCTATCCAAATCCAATATGGAAGGTAACCAAGTGAAGCTCATTTAAGGCGAGCATACTTCAGAAACAGGTCTAGTTTACCTGTTTCAGAAACAATTACCACCTTGAACTCATTAGTCAAACCAGATTCTTCCGTTTAGACACGTGCCAGTAAGATAACGGCTGGAGGCTATTCTGCACGTTCGAACCAACAGAGCGTTCGTCTAGATTCTAGAAGTGGGTGGTTGAAGCTGAAGGTGAAGCTTTTCAACAATTATTGAACCTGGAAGCTAGGCACAATTTTATATGTAGAGAGCAGCATGTGCCAAAGAAGTTAAGATAAGAACTGCACGTGCCACCACGATCCCATAATAATTTGCACGTGCTGATTGATCCACTGCCTACAAAACCAGGATTTTGTATGTCGAGATGTCTTTATGGATGCTCATATAAAATATTCATGTTTAGAATTATCAAGCTATTATTATGAATTTCCAAGTCTTTGTTTATGTCCTAATAGTGGGAGTTAAATGTCCCGTTTATCTTTTCTCTTTTTTATATCCACTCAGCACGCGAAAGGTCAAAATCTTGTAAAAATATAAATTTTCCAGAATATCACCCAACGTTGTTAACGTCTTCCGTGAATACTAAATAGGTAGGTGATTTTACGCTAGATCAGTACTGTGGATATGTCAAGTGGTTTTCTTGCCTCGAGTGCTCAGACCGTATATAATTGCTTTTAAACGTTTGCACGGATCTAGGCACAACCCTTCGTGATTTTCAGCTACAAATTATACAATTAAGTGGTAGAAGACACGTTTTGGCTGGTAAAATTCGGGACATTCGGCGGACTTTAAAAGTTTAAAGTGAGAACGGAGATTATGATCGTATAACTAGAAAAGTTCACCATTTCACCAACAGTTGGTTACTTGACCCGAGCAGACAGTGCGAAATGGGAGGGCTTACTAACGCTGACAGTATTTATTACAGCCGGTAAGATTTTAATTAAAATGGAAATTTCTGGAAGTGAAGCCTGATTTTTGGAGGGGACCAGTTAGTAAAGGGTCAAATGTCAGCCGGCAGTCTCCAGATCCTGGCTCCCCAGCCTGCGTTAAATTTGGAAGACGGTTATTACAGATATCGAACTACCTTGTAAAGTTCGAGCTTATAGTTCTACGATCATTTTATTATTTACAGCAGAAGTCTTATAGTTTTATGCGGAACTCAGCTTTCAGACGACAGCATAACCCGAATTTATCCAATATCCCCGTCGTATTATCATAAATACTTCCACCTTGTGGGTGACGGTTGAGCGCTAAGGGAGGAACTACTTTCTTAATTCTGAAATATTCAGCTCCTAGAACCATAGCTACCCTGCTGATGAAAAGTGAAATTAGAGAAATCATTTGTCATGACCCAGATTGAATTCCAGGATGTCTCATCACTTCATCATGAGACTGAGTAAAAAGTGGTGACAAGACAAATTGAAAATTTAAGAAGACAATTCATGAGTTCATTACAGTCAAGAGAAAATTTCTGAGAAACCCACCCCACTTTCTTTAAAGGATTTAATTAATGAGGAAATGTTCTCGCGTTTCTTTTATAGTAAATGTCGTATTACTAGTAAACTGGACGTTCATGAACCATTTAACTCAATCCAACGAGAGCGCCACTTTAACTATACCTCAGAGCTCTAGAGATATATAAAGAGAGGTTTCGTTCGAATAATCAGTTCTTTTCACTTGGTTCAAGGTTGTTCAGTTGAGCAATCCAATAGGAAACCTTCTCATATGAGAACATATGCACAACTTTGCTATTATTCGTGACTTTGGTCTGGACACATGGGGGATAATCCCCACTTTGACAATCACCATTTCAGACATTGTAGGTTTGGGGATGTCTGGCGAAACATTAATGTTCCTCCTTTTCCCATCCTTTACACCATCTGTCTACAATCTTCACCAATGACGAAAATGGCCAGAAAATGTCAGTAACTGGCGATAATGGTCCGAAAAAGTTTCACCATTCTCTTCATCTGTCATTTCATTACAACCCGTCCCAAAATAATAAATATAACAGAGCCGCAGAAAGCTGGCCTTCAAATTTCGAACATTTAGTGTATTCAAACTTCGAGATTTCAACGGTTGCTTTTCGCGGCCCTCCAATTTGTCCAAATTCCGTTTGGAAATGGAAGCTTCCAAGAAAATTCAAACTTGCTCGTTATCCGGAAGAAATGCAAATTTGTCAATTTAAACGTTGAGGTGCTTATTTCTTGACTGATATGCCTTTTAACGTACCCTGTATATTTTAGTTTTAAAACTCAAAAAACCGTATCATTATTTGAATTAACGATTTACCGTAGGTCATTTCACTGTCCACTCCGTTGAGAAGCTTCGGACAAATTCTAACCTGATCGTTATCCGGAAAATCAAGAATGCAAATTTGTCAATATAAACGTTGAGGTGCTTATTTCTTGACTGATCAGCCTTTTAACATACCCTATATATAGTTAGGGCAAGAATAGGATAATAAAATTTACGGGACCATCTGGGCCCGAGACTCAAATTTACGGGACCATCTGGGCCCGGGACTCAACGGCGTGAGACTCAACGGCGTGAGGTTTGTCGGTGCAAAAAATTAGGGTTAGGATGCAAACTACTACTCTATCACCTTCGGTGTCAAAAACCTGGACCCAAAGCACTTTAGGAAATGATATTCAGTGTTGCCTTGCAGTGATTTCATTTGCAATCTAACTCAATCTCATTATATTCAATCTCAACCGTGTAGGTGCGACATTTGTAATTACAATTGAGCAATATTATTGATTATGAATAGGCGAATGGTTAGAATGGGGTTGGCGAGCTGACCATATTAAAGTATATTAAAATGTAGGTATTTTGCCGAATTGAATCCAGGAATATATTTTAATATACTTTAATATACCTATATATATATTTTTATCCAATACTTAAATATGGTCATCCCCCTCCTCCCGGCTCCTCCCTTTCCCTGAATTATATTATTTTGCTCATATTCATGTAATAAACTAGTTCAATATTCAGTTTGTTGCCGTCATCAACTTGTTGGTCTGCTGATTTGGCGGCTATATACTATATAGCAGTATGAAAAAGTGCACACATCGTGTCCCAAAATACAATTAATCAAATTAATGGGATTATAACAACTCTAATACAACTCTATAACGACGTGAAGGCATAACTTGGAAATTAAACGCCTGATTTCCAAATTAAATTTTGCCTAGTTGTAGCAGTTGAAGCTTGACCAGCAGCAGAAACATCCAATTAGGTTATGAAGTTTGAACTTGTCGACCAAAGTAAACTAAGCGTTAGGACGGTGTTATTGTTAGATAAAAGGTTTTTGCGTTATTGTAGCTATTTATTTATTATTTATTTAATTTATTGGATCATTCGTTTCAAATCAACCAGCTTTAATTGCTTTGTTCGTAAATCGTCCATGAATGATAATTGACCGGAAGCTGAGTGGTCAGGCAGTAAAATAAACTTTGAAAATTTAAAAGAATAATGTATTACGGCTAGTTAGAAAACATTTATCTCTGACCATGTACAGTAAAACCCCGATTTACCGCGGAGTTTGAGGAAACATCTGCGGTTAATCAGGGTTTTACTGTATTCTGATATGGGTAGATTGTAGAATGTAGAGGTAACTTAATGAGGCACGTGTTTAAACTCAGATTCACTTTTAAAATACACACTTCAACCATTTGCATTGTGGTTCGATTAACAAGAAAACCAGTAAACAATAACCACACTACTACTATAATTAGTATTAGGTTATGCAGAGGGTCCCGGGCCTAGACATTATAAATTACCTGCTGGAGCCCCACCCTTACTCTAATTTAATAGAACGTATAAATTGTTGTTATTCCTGTGAATTCCTTTTTCTATTCTGGGAGTTCCTATACCATCATATTTCAATTTGTGAGTTGCGCAAGCTGAGCTGAGTCGCCCCGAGATTCACCAGGGTAAGAAATTGCTCCAGCCATCCCAATTCCCACTCGCTAGAGTTATCATCGGATAAGTAGTATGCTGTCTAATCTTGGTCGAGCACTTTTAATATCGCTTTCTCAGAATCTTAATTAAACTCCTGGTAAAACCTGGGTTTTACTTGACAAGAATTACGTAGAGCAAGATTAATCCATTAGAAGCGATATTTTAGTTGACAACGTATTTAAACTATATCTTAGTCGTCGCCAATACCAGCCGACTAATTAATTTCCTGTTATGCTGACAGCGTTGCGGTAATCACTAAACCGCTTTTTTTGCGTGATATAGCGCCCCCGCGGTGTTAATACCACCCCAACTATTTCACCTACTGAGAGCAGGTATTTCTCAACTCATATCCGGTCGTTTGCTGTGAAGTGTGATCAGAGCCCCCTAACTTGTGAAAGAAGCGCGTCACGATTTCACAGAGCACGCGTAAGCATGGTTAGATGAGTGCAGTCATGAGTCAGGAGATTCTGTAGCTTCTTAACTAGCTGCTAACTGCATCTACCGTCCCACTGGTGGTTTATTCAGCTGCTGGCTTCTAATTGGTTAATGATACCCGAGATCTCTCATTTGATTGGGTGTTGTGCCATGACGTCATCTCTCAACTTGTAGGGATTGTTAGAAGTGAGTTAGCACGTAGTTATCGGTTTAGTTATCGGTTTGGTAACCGAACGCAAGGTGCTCACTATATAGCTGCTCCCTCTCTCACCAGTACCTCATATCACTCCTGCCAACTTCTCTGCAAACTGTACTCCCAATCTCACGCACTCCATCACTTGCTGTGGTGATGCGTGAAAATTTTGTCCATTTTCTGACCATTTTAAAATCACTGGAGCCCAAACCTCTGATTCTGTCGCTATAATAGTTCTATGTGGTCTAGAAACTAACTTGAAATAGCACTGCGCTGACTAGATAGGTCCTGTGATAACACCATCCCACCTCCCTGCTGTTAGCGCTCTTTGCAATTATACTGCAACCACCAATTATACTGGAGTCATAAAACACCTGCACAAATCCCCATTAACTGTTATAGTCCTACGACCTACAGTTAGAGTACCATCTGCATTTCTTTTTAATATTATGACACACCCCGACAAGTGAGAACACCGAGTATTTACCTCCCAGTCTGCAGCAATACCACTAAGGATTTACCTCCCAGTCTGTTGCAATATCACTGAGTATTTACCTCCCAGTCTGCAGCAATACCACTAAGGATTTACCTCCCAGTCTGCAGCAATATCACTGAGTCCCTAATTTTTACACGTGCATAGTACGGGTAATTAAAAAATCATTTTGCTATCTCGTAAACATCACGTTTTCTATTTTTGGGGAAAAAACAAGACAAGCTCATTTTTATTATGAAACCAAGCAAACGATAATAATTCATAACAAATCCATACATTTGCCTTGAGTGTTCATAAGGAACTATCCCGTTAGCCTCCTAACCTTCATCCCCGATTAGAATGCAATATTAATTACCCTCATTACAACATCAGTTGACCCCCACCTGGCCAACACCGGGATCACATTAACTCCAGCCCAACCGTAACCACCAACAAGAGCACTGTATTCTAAAACCCCTTCTGTAAATACATGCACTGTTTACCGGGTTAAGCAACCAAAATTTAATCTAATGGTCACGGTAACATTTGATTGGTCGCCGGTGAAATAAACTACTTCCCTGAATAGTTCCGTCGCCAGTCCTCTGGCACTTGATGGTCGCTTTAATCGGACCCTCACGTCAATGCTGGTGACCGGGTAGTTTTGCAGTCAGACCATCGCTTCCGGCGCCTTTATAAAACACGTAATCCTTCCTTGTAACCTCAGTTGAAACTCGCGTTGATACGATAGAGGTATTATTCTGAGGATATTTTCTCAATCCATGATTAAAACAGGTGCAGGTGGTCCAAGCAAAGGAAAAGTCTATTACTCCATAGATCATTTTTTAATTTCATCGCTCAATGTCTATTGAAAATTGCTGTTTTATTAGATACAGAAGTCGCAATCTGAAAGTTGGCATCAGTTTAACGCTGCGTCAAATGGACCTATCTCTGATGAAGCTATAGTATTAAAGTTCACTCTGTCTGTTTAGGACGTGAACACCCACACAACGGCACAGTGATAAATTAATTAACTATTCTTAATCGGTGAAAGTTATTATCCTAACCACCAGAGTTTTCCATTACCAGTTAATATCTACAACTCTGCCTAGTTGTTTTTGCGTGGTCCTAACGATCTAACCGACAGCATTGTGGCTGTAATTTTAGGAAAGCAGGTGTTTGAAAGTCTACCCGCATGGGATTTCTGTTTCAATACCTCTTATATGTCGACTTTTTATGTACTTCCAATCGAATTTTTACGTTTTCACATAAGTTTTCGTAATATTACAGGATTTTCATTCGATTTTCGGTATTATAGTGTCGTTTTAGAATTAAAGTTACCTAATTTTCAAGGTGTTTAAGCGGGTACTCAAATTGAGGAATGAATTGGCTAAATCGCTAAACAGTAAACTATTTAGTCATTTAGCGTATGGAGTCAATTAATTGCCGTCGAGACAAAATTCGACGTTTTCATTGGTTCCCAAGTACGGCTTGCAAAACTTGATTGGCACATAAAATAATGGCATCAGAGCTGTCGCATAGCTAGAAGATGGTATTAACTAGTATAAACTGTTATTTCCTTGCTTTAATTTTAAATATATGCCCTTTTTGCAAAAAAAAACATGCTCTAGGTTTTCGACTTAAAAATCGAGTTCAAAAATGAGCATTTTAGGGGACATGTTGCTTCAGAAGTTGTAGATAAATATGCTAGTTGCGGCTTTTTTGCATTCATTTGGAAGTCTGCAATATCTACCAAACGAACGTTTATCAAAAATACCAACGGTTTTCAATTTTATTTCCAAACATCACTATTGAGCTCCTGAAAGCCTTCCTAATGATGGCAGAAAATATTTTAAAGTTTGTTTTTAGGGAGCTTGGGGGAAACAAGCTCTAGCTAGTTGTGTCCATCAGATCTATTTTACAACTCATTTGGGTAGTTCCTAGGACTACACATTCCTCAGAGATGATTTTGGCAAAATAGTTCCCAGGTGGTTCTATATTTACGCTTATTGTCCCAAACTGTACTGTGCACATGACATTATATTTATTGGATCTGTACGACCCAATCGGCTTTTATTTACGTGGCGCCTATTATTGAGGCTTGGGACTGACTAGCCCGTTTATTTCAAGAGACAAAAGTGGTTTCATTTAAAAAACCCAGAAATTGCTTAATTAATCAATTTATTGATCCGCGCGCGCGCGCTTGTTGTAAGCATTATCGGCAAACACTTTTAATACACATCTTATTTCCGCGCGTTCCGTAGATTTGTCAAATATACCTCATTTGCCCCAATTCAATTTATTATCTCAGCTAAGAACGATCAACCATGTCTATCTCCATGAAAGTTATCGTATTTGCAGTGTTTCTAGGTGAGTGTTAAATGAAATTGTATCAAAAATTCCGGACAAATACATTGACCCATTAATATCGAGGCGATATCATAAACATATTGAAATATATGTATTACCCTGAATCATATTTCCACTATTATTGTTAGGGATCCCTAATGTGGCCAAAATCAGTGCAATACTATCAACAGCAGAGTCCTCACATGTTTTACACAGGTTTAATTGCCCTCTCGAAGGCAGAAGAAGACGGTATGGTGATAGAGGATGGCGAAATGACTGTCAGCGAATTGTTTGATCTTCTCAGCAGCGAAAATGCCAACAGGGCCAAGAGGAGTATGAGACGAAGAGGCAGTTCTAACGACGTATTATGCAGTCAAGTAAGTTAAATGTGACGCTTTATCAAAATAAAATACGTCACGCGGTATTTGAGGCGAAGAATTTACAATTTTTATAAATCGTTACATTGCGCAAGGTTTTTTTTTCCTTTTTTTTCTTGACATTTCCTCTATTTTAGGCGTGTGATCTAGCCACTCAGAGATGCTTCCAGTTTAGAGGACAAGCTGCTTGCTTCTAAGTTTGTAAGTTCATTATTAATTTTGTAAGTTCGTCATCGGGTAAGCGGCTTCATGGCTTAGTTGGTTAAAGCGCCTGTCTAGTAAACAGGAGATCCCGAGTTCGAATCTCGGTGAAGCCTTTTGTTCAAATTTCAAAGGAAACATTATGAATTGTTAAAATTAAATTTGTCCACTTCATTTTCCTTCACGATTATTTAACATAGTAAAATATTGCAGGCGAGAATATTCATTGGGTGTCTATCCTAATCCTACCAATGGAAGAAAACTCTAAATAATGGTGGTGTGCTGCTTGGGGTTCATGTTCTACTGTCGTTTTAAAGCCGCTTTTAATCAAACCTTACACTCCTTTTCGTCATATTTCACTTTGAATCTTAAAATCATGCGTTTTACTTCTTAAGGTCCGGCATAGTTCCTTGAAAATCAGAGGAAACTAAGTGACAAACACCAGAGAAACTTATATATAAACAGAATTTGCAAACCAGATTTTAAGTAATAAATAAATAAAACAAACTGTGGTGTGTCTAACTGAAGTAACTGACCTTCTTTTGGGTGGATGACGGTATGCAGGGAGCCCAGAGAGATGAACTCGCTAATTACAGCGATGTTGGGAGGGTGGGAACACATTCCTATGACTGGCAGAATGTTCAGATGAGTAAATAACCTGCGGACAACTTGTCACGTGACATGTCTATACTTCAATAGCCACATTAAGTTATGGGATTTGGAATGTAAGTGTAGAATGTTCCTTACCCCAGCCCCATGGCCCATATTGTTCAGTGATCTTGATATAATTAGTAGATTCAATTATATAATTATATAAGAATATAATAATATAATAATCGCATAACAATCGTTATATTCCCTCTGTTCTGATGAACCAAATTAAAAGAGGATATTATGGTTAAACAAAGAGAATTACATTACATTACATAGCATTACATTGCATAACATCTCATGTTTTAGGATTTCAACTCATGGAAGTTAGATGTATCTTTTCCAACCTACAAATAAACCACGTGCACATGTTACACACTTGTAATTAGCTGTAATTAACTTTGTAATTAGTTGTAATTAGTACCTTAGTTTGGGGACCTCCTCATTAAACTGCTTGAGCTGCTGAGTTGAGAGGTTCTGGTTCCGTAGCTTCTTGATACAAACTTGATACCTACCCCAGCTTCCTTTGAAGATCTGACAGGGGCATTGGTTAGTAATTGGTTAGTAATTGGTTAGTAATTGGTTAGTAATTGGTTAGTAATTGGTTAGTTATGTTTTAATGTGATAGGATTAATATAATTGATTAGATTCTTATTTTCAATTAGTTATTCGAGTGACACAATTTTACAAATATATTAATACAAGACACAAGTTTAACCCATACTCTAAAATTTAACAGTCGGCAGACTCTATTTCCAAAATATAGAAGTATTAAGTAGGAAATTTATTTATATTTAACTATTAATAATTCCAACATAAATGTGTCCATTTAGAAGATTTTGCACGTCTCGTTTGCGCCGCCTCCTTCTACGTCAAACAGGCTATACGTTGATAGTTTATACATTAAGCCATGTAAATTGTAAAAGTTATCGCTTCATTTTTGTACTACACTTGAATTGTCAATGACTACAACGATGGTTAAAACGCAGTGTGATGGCAATGAATTTCAATACAAATTACAAACATTCCATGTAGTTTTCAGTCAACATGTTTAACTTGTGAACTGTTAATTAGTTATTACTTGCTTTCTTCAAACAAGAGCTTGTAAGTGGGTGCTGAAAGACCAAGAATATAGTATTATATACAATCTAGATACAACAAACACTTCAACAGGTAGAGCCCGTGAATACATGTGACGTTTCTCTTTGTTAATGTGATCTAATGTTAAATCACACTACAAATTCCTAGAACAGACACCACCCGTAAAAGTGTGTCGTGTTTTACTACAAGTTACAAAATACAAGGGAAATAGTTTGAGACAGTGTACTATTCGATCTTTTGATTTAGAATTAAAACAACTTAATATTATGAAGGAGCAAGGCTGCACCTGATTAGAGCACTTCCATCCCATTACGTAATAATACCAAATTTATTTGTTGTATGGTAGTGTTGAAAGTATTAAACGTATAGTGCTGACTTAATACAAGACTGGAGTCCCAGCATGGATTGAACCCAGGACGTTACTCAAAGCATACACAATCTCAAACATAGTCCACAGTGCCGGGGTCCGCAGTGCTGGGGTTTATAATACATATAACCAAATGGAGCTTAGAAAGGTGTTTGTAAGGGACATATTGGTAGAAGCCCCCCCCCCCCCCCCCCCCCCCCCCCCCCCCCGTACAACCAATCCACTAAAATTCAGTGCAATCTACCGTGCAAACTGCAATATAGTGTGTACTGTAAATGATAGTATCTAGAAAAAATCTAGTGTGTATTGTAAATCTATTATCTAGAAAAAATCTAGTGTGTATTGTAAATCAGGTAAATAGTACAATATATATAATATATATATGTACGGGTAAACCGCCCCTAAAATGTCACCCACCCCTAAAACGCCACTCTTGATTGATTGGATCCCATCTTCTTAGAAAGTATCTTACCTAATCATTTGTAACTCCTAAACATAAAAAAATATCATTCAGACCCTGCCACATCCTGAAATTGAATCTAAATGATGCCATAAGGGCATTTTTTTCACTTTGTACGAATTTTTCACTTTGGAAAAAAAAACGCACAATTTTATAACTCTGGAATTCATTAATATTAACTCGGTTTTGGTCTAGGATAGTGATATTTACATATTTTAGCAACTTTGTACATATGACTGGAGATATGGAAAGTTATACATTACTCAATATTACTACCCTCCCCTAAAATGTCACCTGGCCGCCCCCTAAAATGTCATTTTATCAGATTCTGGCTTTGAGACTACAAGCACTATAAAATGGAGGTACCAGCCTATTAAACATCATATTTAGCATCTAATGGTAATATTGGAAAGCTTTGGCAGCTCAAGGAATTAGTTTTATTTTATTAATCGCAATAAACATCCCCTAAAATGTCTAATTATCCCCCCTAAAATGTCATTTTAACATGATAAAATTACTCAGGCTTTTCCCAAGATGCAATGCATACTCACATTTCGTTAATAGTTGATGTTAATAATTAACAAGTGCCAAAACAAGAGCTATTATCGCACACCATGCGAACAAAATACAAATTTGACATTTTAGGGGAGAAAAAAATGACATTTTAGGGGGCATATCATAGGTTTACCATAAACTAGTAAGTACCAAAAACCGTAGTTTTTGACATTCAATTTTGCTAAAAGCAGTCAAATCTAGTCTATAGAGAAGGTCAGATCGATTACTGGGTTGGATTAGTTAACTACAGGTCACTAAAATTGCCAAAATGCAGGATGATGTTAAAAATCCCAAAAAATGCAATTAAAACATGCAATTTGCACAAGGTTAAAATCACATTGAATACATTTCTTTTGTGCCAATTGTTAGTTTATAACTAGATAATCTAACTACAGGTGTTAATTTTGTTGACTGAGTTACTGTTTTGCCGTAAGTTCTGGGTATTAAAAAAAAGTCCCCAAAATGTCACAAAAAATAAATTGACTAAATTTCACCATTTTTTTTCAACAGAGAGAGAAATTCTGGTCGACACCTCTCAGAAATAGGTTATATTTGTCCCAGAAGTGGTTAAAATTGATAATTGAGCAACATTCTGAGTGCTACACAACCTGTTTAAGCTGACGTTTTAGGGGTGGTGCACGTGACATTTTAGGGGGTGATTACGGTTTTGAGGTACTTCCTTTAGTGAGTGAATGTTTTCAAGTAGCTTAATGTTTTAATAAGACAAAACAAATAGTACTAATGACAAAAGATAAATCAGGCCTCCTGTACATTTTGTAATTATCACACATATAGAGTTGACATTTTAGGGGTGGTGTTTTAAAAGTGACTCCATTTCAACGTCAAAAAAATTTTACCTGATTTTATTTTCAAATTTCCAAATCTTCCTGGCAGGCTAGAAAAAGGTTTAAATATTATTCCTAGACACTTCAGAACCCTGTAAATTTAGCCCTAACTCGGCAATCTGGGCCCAAAAAACAGGTGACATTTTAGGGGCGGTTTACCCGTAATACAATTTTAAAATGTAGTTCAAATTTGGTGTGCCGTTTTAAAGCGATAATACAAGTATTTAAACAACATATTTCATTACCTCGCCAACACTGCCACCCCCCCCCCCCCCACATTACCTCACCAACACTGCCACTGTCCCCCCCCCCCCCATATTTCATTACCTCACCAACACTGCCACTGTCGATCTGTTCACCCACGGTAATTGTTCTGAAGTCTATCTCGGGTTGTCTGCAGTACAAATCCAGATCTGAAACATGGACAAGTGAGTGGGGTAACAAGTAAGTGGGGTAACAAGGTAGAATGTATACAGATTACTTCAAGATCACCTCTTTAGTCAACAATCAAATTTGGTTCATCAGGCATGACGTCCTCCGTAAAGGGATTTAGATCACACATAAACCTATTATTTCAGCAGATCTGAGATATCAAATACTTCAAATACTTCTCATGAACTTCAATTAATTGGGCCGGGTTCATTCAAAAGATTTGTATCACTTTTCTCCGCTCGGTTGGCCGGGGAATTTCGGCGACAGCGGCACGTTAAAGTCAGAGTGAGTGTATATCCTATACAATTAGTGTACACTCTGATATTCTGGTGTTATGGTATGTGTTAAAGGTAAGAAGGTATAACTGAAGTGTTGACATGTGAGGCACATCTTGTCGTGTCACATGTCACATGTCACATGTCACATGTCACATGTCACATGTCACATGTCACATGTCACATGTCACATGTCACATGTCACATGTCACATGTAGTAAACATTCCAACTAGCTAACCGTACAGACTGCTTTACATTTTACATGGAAACACAGGAAACGTTAAGTTTGCATTGTGAAGGGATCGACAAGCGCCCAGAGCCAGCTTAGGCAGCTTAGGCAGCTTCTTTCTATCCTACACAATACGCTACTCTAGTAGCTATGGAGATTCTAAGGTCTGTACTCTGTAGGGCATCATCACAGAATTTTAAATTAGACCAAATCCTCACAACTCTAAAAAACGAAACTATTACTCACTGGCTCGTTTCTTCTTCTTAGCGTCCTCTTTGAAGGGTATAATATCCAGGTTCTGTCCCAACTTTATAGCTTTCTCCGAGAGTTTCTGTTTGAGAGAATCCTTTGCACGATGAAGGGGAGTTTCTCCATATTTGTTAGCCATTGAGACTAACCCGCCAGCCGATACAAGGTCCTGTGTATAAAGATATATTAGAAAAGAGTTCTATACTTTAATTTCAATCAGTACATTGGTTCTTAAATTCTTATGAGACCCCAGTTTATATTTTTTACTTTCTGCTCTGAGGAGAGAAAGTTTTTGAGGAGACCCGCTCAGACATGGGCACTGTATTGTGTAAATTATTTTGGTATGTTTTATACAATATCTTTGTCGCATAGTAGCGGGGTAGTAAATACAGTGTTTCGTTTCGTTTCGATATAATTATCATCAAAACAAGCAATATTTACGAAATATTAATTTGTTTCTGTGATTACCATACCCAGGTCCCAGATGCTTTCTCAAAGATATTGACACGGAGAAGATAAGGGGGGGGATCATGTACTTACGATAGCAATCTGATCGTAGCACCAGAAACAAGCGTAGTGAAGGGGGGTGTTGCCGTGTTCATTGGTTGCGTTAACATTACCTTTCTGTGCAATCAGCTGAAGAGAACAAAGTTAGTTATTTATTTCAGAACTTATTTTTGAAACATGTTGTTTTTTGTGCGATTGAAAAGGAGTTGCTGTAAAAACCCAAGGAGATAACTATAATAAGCGTATAATAAATCTTCATTTGGCCGGAAAGCTCCTAGGAATCCATTCTTTAACTTGTTGATCGAAGGAATTTTTAAGATACCCCAGGAATGAGGAAAACGGGAGCACAGATTTACAGCACTGGACAAATTATTCTGTCTACAATAGTTTCGGCTCTCATTATTATCTGCACTTTTACACTTCCTAGTAACATGATGGAATAATTACCAATTACTCAGTACACAGGTTGATAATTAATTAATTACCAATTACTCAGTACACAGGTTGATAATTAATTAATTACCAATTACTCAGTACACAGGTTGATAATTAATTAATTACCTTGAATTATTTAGTAAACAGTGTAAGTTTCTAAGACTACACGATAAAACAGTTAGAACTCTGAACAAACCTTGTACAAGATCTCCTGTTGCCCAAAAGAAACAGCGATATGGAGCGGTGCATCGCCTCCCATGTTGCTAGCGTTGACTCTAGCTGCCCGACTACAAAGCATCTCCACTATCCGGGTCCGTCCATAACGGGTAGCCCAGTGTAGTGGTGTAAAACCGTGCCCGTCCCTGAGTGAAACATTTTTAATACTTTCAACACTACTATATAATATAAGTTTTAACAAATAACTTAAGCTAGCCGAGCCTGATGGTATTCAGAGTGCATTAATGTAATGTACATTGTACAATGTACAATGTACAGTAAGCTGGTCCCAAGTCCAGACGCCATCATCCATTGTAACTTTTCATTACAATAACCCTGTCTAGTCATTGATTACTGATAGAGACTGAGGTTACAGTTACAGAGACGAAGTCGATAGTCTTAATTTCCTTTTTATTCTAGTCTCTTTTCTCAGCTGATTGGTTAATCAATGTCACATATTATATAAATTAATATATCGTGAGTGTTTAGTTCCTTAGCTGAACGCTAATATGTAAATTTACGCAGGGAGTTGGCTATGGAGTCTGGAATGCACATTTTGCACATAACAAAATACCACAGTCCTATACACCAATACACCATACAGTGTACTATGTCTAACACCTTCATCCCTAATCAAGTATGTGATATCTTATAAGTTGTGTCAAGGAGTGGTTCACAATTGGCTTTATCATCTCTTAAATCATAATACCACATACCACATACCACATAGCACATACCACATAGCACATACCACATAGCACATAGCACATAGCACATAGCACATAGCACATAGCACATAGCACATACCATTATTTCTCCACACATACAACTATATACAGACACACACGGAAATATGCAGGGAATTTTAACATGTTTCGCAAAATCGGTCAACTGTTAATTAACGTCTGTTAGGATTATAATGTAATTTTGACACACACGCACACACGCACACTAGGCTACAACATGACCAGTTGTTGATAAGTTCCTATATTTAGAACTGACACGTGGTGTCCACGTGACCGACACAAAACTACAGTTGTACGGCCTGTCCTTGCTACCTAATAAATCCATACAAATTCAATTATGTTACACAGCAGTAAGTGCACAGTACATGGTTTTAAAGACACTATAATGTCAGTACATTCCATCCTGTCACATATTCCTTTTTCCAGTTAGTCGGATGAAAAGTTCAAATATGGTAAAACAATTTGCTAGAAAACTTGTTTAACATACTGAATCATGGACTGTAGACATTGATCTTATCAATGTATACATCCTGCACTAGCCCATAAAGGTAAATGATTCCGATAGTTACTAATATCAAAAATCACCATTACTCAGCGAACTAGAATACAATCACTTTTAATGTAGCACAAGTTTTGAGGCAGGCCATTACAGGAAATTATCACATTCGACTGATCTACTAATCTTTTAACAGCTTTTATTCATGAGGATTCCTGGAATTTAAATACATTTTTCTTTGATACAAGTCGGTACAATTATATTATATGCTTAATATAAATAAAAATCAGCATTAACCAGACTTCGGAATATCTTTTTACAAAAAATTGACCCACTAATTAGAAAATGGGAATGCAATACCTGCATTACAAGAAGTTGTGACCAAGTGTTAAACTCACCCTCGGTTTACATCGTTTTCTGCTCGAGCTAGCCACTGTCTCACATAACTTTCATCTCCCTCTTTACATGCTGTGTATATGTCCTGTGCTTCTGTTCCATACATGACAGTAAAGTTCTAGTGGACAAAATTATTATGTTAGACCATGTTTCACTTAGAAATCAAACAAAAAAACTAAAAATCAAACAAAAATCTAGAAATTAAACAAGAAAACTAGAAATATAAAATAAATAAATAAATTCTAACATTTATTACGCGTTTCGACATTAAAATATACCCAACAAAGATGTACATTTAAGTCATTCAAGCGAGACTTAGTGATGAAATATCAAGATTATGGACTTTTTTATCAGTACAGATTTTATGGACAAATATTCGTATAAAGTTACCAAAATTATGCAATTTCATATCAGCTCAGACATTGTGGACAAATATTAGGAATATTATCAAAAGCTAGCTGGGAATAAAACGTCTTCAGAGCATTTTAAAAACATTCTACAGATGATAATGATCTCACTGAGCAGTGGCATAACGAAGGGCCCCGCGCCGCTGACCCCGCTGTGCGGGGGAGGGGTATCTTAGGGGGGCCGGGGGGTGCAAAATTGTCGTTTGAATGTGGGACAATTTTGAAAAACTTAACTGATGTACTAGCAAAACTGTGCGTTTTGTTCCAGAAACACACTTTTTTAGAGATTTTACCAGCATATCCTCTAAAATCACCTAATTTGTTCAGTTTTAGGGAGGGGGCCAAAAGGGGAGGAGGCGCATTTTCGGCGGGGGGGGGGGGCCAACAGGCAACGTTACGCCACTATCACTGAGTAGAGTAGTTCATTCCAAATTTTTGGTCCACAAAACATAAATGCAGCATCTGTTCGTCTGAAATGAGGAGCAGGAGAAACTTTCAACAAATAAAAGTCATCATCTAGTCTGAAACTTTGTCTTCAAACTTCTCTTGGATTGACGTGTCCTTGTAAGTACTGAGGGGCTATGTTATTAAGAAACTTGAAGACCAGAAGTGATATTTTGAACTTGATTCTGAAACAAACAGGTAGAAAGTGGAGCTTTTATGGACACGTTCATTGAAGTTTGAGGATATTGGTAAATTTCTAAAATGGCGTTTTCGACGATAGTGGCTTAATTTTAGCATCTATTAATCTAGCGTGTTCATAAGTTCTGAACATTAGCCACGTGACCCATACTCCCATATGCACTGCTCAAAAATAAAATGTATTGCTTTTAGGCACTATAATGTAAAAAATGTCACATTTTTGTGACATTGTTTACCATAGCTGCCCAATTATCATTCCTTGGTCTGAAATATAGTAGATTAGGTCAATCTAACAATTATGATACAACATTGGTTAAAGGGCACAGATCGAACGGCTTTAAGGCAATATTTCGTACACTTTGTCACACTCAGAATACGAGACCTCTTTTCTACTGTGAGGTGTCCTCAAAACCCTTTCAACTCATCATTTGATGGTTCTTCTGCCAATCATAGCCCTAAAATATGTTGTTTTGAAAAGTTAGCAAATACATGCACTTGGTTATTGGGAAATGATGTAAATTCTGTCACATTATATGGAATTTGAAATTCTGGGTGAATTTCCGAAATCATTTATATCTGATTTTGGTTTGGAAGGCGGGAAAACTCTATATAAGGACGATACACGGATACAGTTGATTCAAGTATAGGGCAGTTGATGTAAACATCGTCACAAAATGATACGACATCGTAAATAGGTTACATTTTGCGGGGAAAATCTATATAAGGACGATACACGGATACAGTTATTCAAGTATAGGGCAGTTGTTGTAAACATCGTCACAAAATGATACGACATCGTAAATAGGTTACATTTTGCGGGAAAACTCTATAAGTCTATATTATATAAGGACGATACACGGATACAGTTGATTCAAGTATAGGGCAGTTGATGTAAACATCGTCACAAAATGACATCGTAAATAGGTTAAATTTGGAAAAACTGATTATAGAATGAAATAGTCTGTGATTAACATATTACATACATTATAAAATGGGCAGGGGTTTTTATATTTCCTGTATCTCTGTATTAATCATTTCGGACTGTAAATAGGACTGTTCACGTGAAAGAAATTGTATCTAAATTTTACAATGACGTACTCGTATGTGACGAAATTTACATTTCTTGACCCTATTTTGAAGAACCATACCTCGGTTAGAATTCAATGTTCTTCCAGGAATTATTGGTTGGTTATTGTTTAGCAAATTAGAACTCAAGTTTAACAATGTTGAGTTTAATTTTACTAAGTTACTGAAATGTGACGAAATTTACTTTTCCTGCCCCAACAGTATAATATCAACGTGATGAAAAATTGGCATGGGTTTCTATATTTCCTGTGTAAATCCATTCTAACTATAATAAGGACTTAAGGACTGTTGATACGCAAGAAAATCTATCTAACTAATGCAAGTGCTGATGTGACGAAATTTACATTTCTTGCCCCCTATTTTGAAGAATCATACCTCGAATAGGATATAATTTTACTTTATCACCATACCTATGTCGATAAACTAGTTATTTTGCCAACAAATAGCAAATAAAGTTATCATATTTTTTTGTGACGAAATTTACAAATTTTTACCATGTTCAGGTGTTGAAATTTTGCCACTGTTAACATATCACTGCCATATAATAATTTATATGACCGGTGTGTGGTTGAAATATTGTTAATTGATCCATAGTACGTAATATATGGTGTTTAAGTTGGTATACTAATATTTACTCAATTTCACACATGTTGAGATATCATACAAATGTATGTGACAAAGTTTACCCATTTCTGCCTTCTGTATTTGTATTTGCCTATAACAATGAAATATGTGAACAATTCCAAACACATTCAGCTCACAAAATAATGCTAGACTATTCGGCATTTCTTGTCAGGATGTCATAAACATCCCTCATATAAATTTTTTAAATGTGTGACAGAGTTTACATGGTGCTACCATTTAACGAAAAAAGTCGCTAAATATGTAGATAATAGTCATATGCACCTATCCTATAAATTTGAAATTCGAAAATTTGGTCAAACACGGCAACAAGGGGTCCATATGAACTCTGTCACGTTTTTATAGTGTGACAAAGTTTACAACTCACTGCCGGCCGCATTTAAGCGATATCTTATCGTCTGATAAAGATATCGTTATGCGACAAAGTTTATCTAGAGGATGAAACGATTATCTTAACCATTGAGGGTTTATATAGTTTTATAGTGTGACACATTTTACATCATCGTGCCATTTAGTAGGGTCACTAATATTTACCAATATCCTCAAACTTCAATGAACGTGTCCTTATATACTTATATACTGTTTGACATTTTTTTTAATATCTGAAGAAAGTGGAGCTTTTTGATAGGTTCACGTATATTTTTTCCGTAAAGATCAAAGATAAATCTAGCAGCATTGTTTTATGTCTTTTGTAACTTATGAAGATTCTTTTCTGTTAGACCATAATAGACTGAGTTGCAGTAGTCTGAAACAGAGAATATTGGAGTGAACTAACTGAACTTTTAGGTCATGGGAAAGTCCCTTTAATTCAAATAACATACTTTGGAGGTTCTTGGCATTGCTGACGGGACTGACTGAAAGGTCATTTTATGGATAACAGCAGGTACAAGTGCTAGCTACAAACCATGTCAGAACAGCTCTAAAGAGTGAGTGTAAAATACTAGTATGAAAATTAATATGACACTGTAGCAAATTATTTACTCTAAAATGTTGTCCTCACAAGGAATAATTACACTTCTAATATAATAGCGTCTATTCAAAAGGGGAGGGGCGCCAAAAGGGGAGGGGGTTTAGGGTGAGAATCCCTGCCACGTTTTTGGTCAGTTTCGCTCATGTCTTTCCTCGAGGGAGCATTAGTGTCTACAGAAAAACTGACAAATCCTAGCGAAGTCCAATCCGAACCACATCTTCCATCAGAGGTGGTGCTGGGTCAGCTGGTTACTGAACGGATTGGCCTGGAGAAAGGCATAGTCCTGTTATTCTCAAGTTAACCATAGAGGGGGTCAGGCGCTGTTCGCTCACGGCTGGTTCTTGGAGCCAACACCCTCAGCCCCACAGAAGTGGGAGCACTGTTGGTGGTTGCTCACCCAGATAACGGACAGTGTCTCTCCTTCTTTCTTCTTGGACTTGCATTGTTGCTGGTGAGTCAGCTGGCAACAGTGTACCATACTTTCATATTCATGTTTTCTTCCCCACATCTCCTACACCTCACCCCAACCGCACGTTCCTTGCGGGTAAAGGAACATTAAACCGCAGGTTCCTTGCGGGTAAAGGAACAAACAAAAACAAAAAACGGCAGACTCCTTGCCGGTAAAGGAGAATTCTACAACAAGTTCCTTGCCAGTAAAGGAACGTTGAACAAGTATCGAATCAGTATGGCTATTCCCAGCTTCAGATAGGGACAGCGTGACAGTTTTATCCTTCAGGGACAGCGGAAGCTATGCCAAAATTTTCAGCCGATCCCTTTCATGTGCAAGTTGATTGATTGAAATAAATTTTCGTGCACATACAGAATGAATGGTTAATAATTTAATATATATGTAGACCAAGGTCTGTGCACGGGATGCTTCCTGGAAGAATCCAGTTCTTTTAGCGGGGCACCCTACCTAAAGCCAAATTGAGATATAATAATCATATTCCTAAGAAATAATCAGAAATCGAATACCAATCAAATAATATGATATACGTATAGGAGTAGTAACCATATTTACTATGCAAAATGCCCCAACCACATAGTGTAAATTTATATAGAATTCAAATTCCATATCATCATTAAACCTCAATAGTCAATATAATAGCCCAAGCAAAATTAAATAACTTCTTATATACCTTACTGTCATACTACAAATTGATTAAACATTTGAAATCTGTTAACCAGAGAATAAATTTCTAAACCTAATGCAAGTGAAATAATTTAGATGCAATAATGAATGCCTAATGTGAGTATCATCTGTCAATGTCCTTGTAAAACAGTCTGTACAAGAGATATGAGTAACTAAAATAGAAGAAAAAACAGGAAGTTGTCGTCTGTTGAAAAATAAATAAAATATCTAGAAT